ACACACACACACACACACACACACACACACACACACACACACACACACACACACACACACACACACACACACACACACACAGCGATCACTTGATAGTCTGGATGGCAGATTATGTGTTTCTGACAGTTAACAGCTGTGTTGGGAGAAAACAGGTCTTGGGTGTGTATTATTTGGGAAGCGAACAGACCTCAGTGTGAGGCCCTCACCAGATGTGTGAGGTGCTTATATGTCCAGATTTATAGTCTGCTGAGAGAGAGGAGAAATAGGGAGTTTCTCCAATCATGCTCCCTGATAACAGGAAGAAGTTAACATGTCGGCTGAAGCTAAGCGTGTGCACCAATTGGTGTAAGCACACAGGGATAGTCTGGAACAAGTCAAGATTTAGCTCAGATGAACCGTAGGTATTACCTGCATGATGTGAAAGCCTGGATGGTCTCGTTTTCATCTTGTATGAGCGTTACTGTTGTGGGAATTATTAAAGAAGCAGTTTGAGTAATTTGGCAGCTGTTTATTTTTCTGCGAACAGACTTAACTTCAGCTCGGTTGCTACATATAATAAAAACTCACTCTCCGTCAGTAGATGCACGGTGGCGGACACATCTCACACAAGCTCGTTAACTGAAAAAACAAATGCAAAAGCCACAACACAACTGCTATAACCACAACACCAATGCCGAAGTGACATAACGGACACCACCACAACAGAAGTGAGTGACAATGGATGTTGACAATGGCACAAGTTGAGTTACTTACTGTGGTCAAGTCACGGATAGACGAGTCAAGTGAGCTGTTGTTTGTGAAAACCTGGACAAGCCAGTATTTGAGGTGTTACCACTATTTCAGGTGTCTGGAGCATCTGTGTCATGACACCTCAAATAGAGACGCATCACGATCTCTATCAAAGTAACAACACAGATGATCATCAGCTCAGTGTAGCAGCAGAGTAACTTCACACATCTGTTAACACTGGGACCACTTTATTGCAGCACATTAAGTTGTTATTAGGTTCATCCTATCAATTAGTCGGAGATCAGTAAAGTCAGGATTACTGGGGAACAGTTTGGAACTACAGCACAGGGAAATGGTAAAACATCAGAAGTGAGCACAGCAAACAATCTTGACAGTCTTTTTAATGTACAACTTTACAAATAATATTCCTCTACTGCCTCTAAAATGGATTCAACATATAAAATGAGACTGAAACTTTGATTTGGACTTGACTTGATCAGCAGATAAAAACAAACCATGAGGTCCAGCTTTTTACTTTTCTTAAAAGAGAAAAAAAGAATCCAGATGTAGCATCTGATAGGGAGGGACATAAAACCATTATTTTCTATGTCTTAAAAATGATAACAACATATGCAATGAAATAAATAAACAATAAATTAAATTGAAAAAAAAAAAGGAGCTACTTCATTTTGAGTAGGATGAAGAGATAAAACTTTGCACTGCTAAATTCTGCCATCTGCTCTCACACCTAATGCATGAATACAAATTAAAGCTTCAAATCATGGCACAGCTTCTGTTGTCAGTGTGAAATGTTTGTGTGAAAACCAGATATCTCGCAGCATTTGTGCTGTAACAGACGTTTCCTCCATTTCCTTCACCCTGAAAAACCCCCAGACCATTTAACCGATGGCTCTCAGTCAGTTAGAAACTACATTTACATGTGGAGCTGAATCAGCGGAAAAACGGACTCTGATGTTGTCGAGTGACCACGAGTAGATCCAAAGTTACAACATATGATAGAATGTAACAAAACTGAAATGAAATATGAAAAGATAAATCCAAATTGAAATGAAATCAGTTGGACAAAGCAACTGAAAAGCATCTATAAAGCAGAGATATAAGAAATAACTGTAAACAGATGTTGTTAAATTCAATGTTATTTTTTCACAGTAACCTCTGGATTTATGAATAATATTTTCCCATGGTTCTCTAATGCAATTTTTTTTCTACTGTGGTAGGAATATGTCTGACACAATTAGGAAATCAACCCTGATGAAGATGAATATTTTTTTAAGTGGCAGAGAAAGACAAAATAAATAATGTGGAGTTAATTTCTTTGTGCATTATTATTAATCTGTGCATTTATCTCATAATAAGTCAGGCTTGGTCTTTTGTGGGTGGTAAGATCCATCGTTTTCCACGATTATGGTCGTAAATGATTAGTTTTGTCTGCATGTTGTTGAACTTCCTTCAGGACGGATCAGTTCAAGAGTTAAGAACGAGCAGCTCAGCCAAACCGTCTCTGGTAAAACATATTTAAAAAAAACGTTTATCAACAAGGAGAAGATTCAAAATAGCAGTTGGTCACCATGAAAAGAAAGCTAGTCAACGCTGGTTTTCAGTTCAGACTACACGAGGCAGGATCTGTTAATTACAGTAACTAGTGACAAGAATAAAAACTACATGTATCCTGGAAAACACTTCTGCGAAGCGTCAAACCGTCCAATAACAGCTGAGTGACCTCACAGAGTAAGACTTGGTAGAATGATTTAAGGAAGCTAAAAGCAGAATTTAAAAAAAGGCTTTCTGACAGTGTCATTATCTGTTCGTCCTTTGTCTAAGACTTTTTGACGTAACATGGTAAAAGTTCCACAGTTAACTTAAAGGTCAACTCCTTCTTTTCCCTTTTCCTCCTCGTTCCCGGATTTTCACATCCAGCCCATCAACAGCGTCCGTTCCTCAGCTCACAAATAATAAACCTGCTGTGAACATGTTCGCCATGATTCATAGAGGAAGAGGTGAAAGAACTCTGTTGATATCCGTCTCCTTTAAGGTTAAAGTCATTGTGTGAAATCCTTACGAGGAGAGGTGTCAAAGTTCAGAGGAGGTTTCTGTTGAGCTCCTTTCACATTTTCTCTTTTTTTGTGACTTCTATTTACTCCTTTGGAAATGTGTAGGGAGTACTAAACATGGCCAGCGTCAGAATCACAATGTGTGTCTTTTTTCTCTCCAGGAGACAGAACCTTGTTTCACCACTGTCCTCTCCTCAAGGTTAAAGGAAGAATCCATCGTTCCATGAGTCGAGTCATAAGTCTGTGACTTTGTTTTCAACAGCGGCAGCGATCTGCTGCAGCCTGTAACCCAGCTGCATCTTCTGAGCGGTGGGGTCCTCTTCCAGCGCTGTGATGATCTGACAGGAGGGAGGAGATCCGAGCATTTACATTTGAAAGTTATAGTGTGTAACTATCTCAATGGAGGTAACCCTTTGCGTATAGAAGTGAATGTCTGAGGGGATTTAAGGGACATCTATGCAAATGTTCAAAAACCCCTCTCCTGGACAGCCAATCACAGCTTGGAGACTCTTAGTCTAGTCTGAGACACTCCAGCACATTCACCAAACTCAAGGAAAAGCCTTTTCTCTCTTATAATGTTCAAAGTGAAAACAAGCTGCAGGAAATTAGTTGTATGAGCTCAACAGCATTTTTCTTATACTAGTATACTTGGACATGCTAACATGGTTTCATATATTGAAGTAGTAAGGCTGTCGTCTCCTGCTCAACTGGTTGGTTTCTACACTCCAATCAGACCAAAGTCTCACTGGTCAGACAATCAGGATGGTTTTACAACTGTGAACATGTCCTCGGGGACAGCTAGCTTTAAGTTATTATTACTTATCATTATTAATTATTCTAATTATCACTTAATGTTTGCTCAGAGTTTGCTCCAAACAAATTGTTGCCGTGTCAAAGTTGTTGGCTGAATCTTTTTCAAATTGCATCAAGTGTAAACGCTTGAGCAGCCAAAACAGCACATCATCTAACTTCAGCATGTGGGCTAACTTGTATCCGTCTGCTACTAATACCAACCTTTGTGTTTATTTATAATTCATTGACTCTGACATAGTTACCAGGTAAAGTGAACTCTCTGCATTGTGACAGATTTTGTTTATCTCGAGTGAAGAGTGCAGGTTTTCTTTCCTTGATTGATTGGTTGAAGAGAAGGTACACAACATTTTCTTCCCCAGATCTCACTTTGAAAACAAGCAATAACTAGGTGAGGTCTAATCTGGCAAAAAGACAGTCACCGACAAGAACTGAGGGGCTTAGCCTGTGAGCTGTGAAATAAAGGACCTACCGTTAAAAAGTGGACACCTGCATATCTGTCATCAGTGTCAATGAAAACTGCATTTTGTGCCATCTGAGCACGGAGAGTCTTAAAAGCGTAGCAACAATAAGTAATGGGGGCTGGGCTTAGTAAAACATAAACCATTTGGCATCTTTAAGAAATAACTGTATGTCGACTGCGATACTGCATTCAATTATTCTTACATGCACACAAGAGTAGAATACCCTGTCCAGCAGTTATTTGTACTCACTTGATCATAGTATTTGTTGATGTACTTATACAGCTCATGTAAAGCCACCAGGCAGTTGACCTCAGCAGCGTAATTCTGTTTTGGGGAAGTAAAAACAAGAGAGGTGAAGAAATGTGTTTGTGATCCAGATGGAAAGATCCACGTTATGAAATGATTTGTGTGTGTTCAAAAAGTCATTCTTATAAAATAGGAAAAGAGGAGTGAGTAACATACATGGGAGAGTTCTGCGAGAGCGGAGTTCATCTCCTGGTCACTGGCAGAGATGGTCTGACGGATGTCTGCGTAATACCTGGAGAGAGAGGGAGGGAAAGAGAAAAGAAAAGCAGGGATGAAGTTCATGTAATTATTGGTGAAAAGAAAACAACAAAATAACACTTTCTATTATTTTAACTTTTTTAACAAATACTTTGTGTACATTTTTCAGGGGTCTGTACTTGAGTTTTTATTTTTCAACATTTACCACAAATATCTGGACTTTCAACTGCTTACATTTTTAGAACAGGCTTGTTACTTTTGTTTTGATTAATTTAAGAGGAATTATGTGGGTTGTATTTTGCATCATTTAGCACCACAGTGGACGACTCCAAGTAACGACCAAGGAAGGCGAGAAGTTTTAAGTGTGTGTAAGATTTAGGTGTAAGGGATCTATTGGCAGAAATTGAATATAAAATAATTCTAGTGATGTTTTCTTTAGTGTGCTTCATCTATATTGTACAATTCTTTTTTCTTGACTCTAGAAAAGTCTCTTTATATTTAAATACTTTATATTTACATCAGGAGCAGGTCCTCTCTACGGAGGCCGCCATGTTTTTACTGTAGCCCAGACTGGACAAACTAAAACCTTTTGAGTTTTTATGACAACTGAAGCTACCACAGGTTCTCTTTCATGTTTGGAGGGGGAGGGTGAGGTGAGGGGTGTTCAGCTGCAACATGCAACTTCAACACTAGTTGTCACTAAATTCTACACACTGAACATTTAAGCCTATTTCTTGTACAATGACAGGAAGTGGAGATGTGTCGTCTATAATTATGTAGAGCCTATGGGGAAAAAGTGTGAAGTATTCTTTTTAATTCTAGGAATAATTTAGGCTTTAAGCAAACACAATTGTTAGGTGTGGCACAAAATGTTGTAAACATATTTATTATTGCAAAATATTAAGTGTGTGGGATTTTATTCACCACTTTAGATCTATTTATCCTCTTCTATGCATCAGGCTGATGAAATAGACGTGTGAAGTGTAAATGTTTTGAGTCACTAAAAAGGCTTTTTAAATGCACACTTTTTTTTTACATTAAAGATCCTGTGAAGCGACGCCTCATCATTGGTGTAATCTTCAGCGTTTTATGTGCGGCAGACGGCATTAAGTACAGCAGTCTGCTCTCAGACCATCCATGCATGGAAGCCTCGCAGGCTTAGTCTACACTCTGTCTGGCACTGACAGATTGTCCTCGGCGCTGCTCTAGTTCCCTCCTTCCTCCTCTCCCTCCCTGGTGTTTTTTATGCCCGAGGTCAGCGGGGCGCTCTGGCTGCCATTCTCTTACCTCTCCACCATCTGCTTGTAGCGCGGGATGTCTCTGGCATACAGCAACTTGTTGATGGGAGAGTCCTGTGGGAGTTATACATTTCAATTTGTAGTATTAAACAATATTTATTGGAAGACATTATTTACATTGTGATAAACAACGATTAACTGCATGATGTCATGGTCTAATCACCTCCTTTATCCTTACCTGCAGAGATGAGGTGATTTACATGGTCACATTTATGTACAACTGTTATTTGGAGTATTTTAATGTCACCTTATCCTGCATTATTTTGTGGGGGGGGTTGTTTATGTAATAGCAGAGCCCCATTGGTCGCAGTGAACATTATTCTATTATATTGACAGTGTCTTGGTCTGGTCAACTCACCCGCCCCAGTTTGTGGTCGGCGATGGTGCAAGAATCCATGAAGGTTTGGGCAATGACGGACAGCACAGCATCCACATGGTCTGAAGTCTGCACGTCAAAGATGAACTGTGGGTTCTTAAGGATATTGATCCAGAAACGCAGAGGTAAACTGTTTGGGCAGACAGGAAAAAGAGGGTGTGCGTATAAGTAGTCATTCCACCCAAAACATACAATTACATAAGTTAAGACAAAAAATGAAGAATGTGGATCATCTTGTTCTCAAACTTTAGTGTAGGTTTCACAAATAATGAAACAATGTTAACCAATACGTTATCATAATCATCAGGATTAAACAAGAAGGAGCCACAGAGACTTGGAGTATATTTCCTTGTTATTGGAGGCGGGACAGTGTGGTCGTGGCCGACTGCCAAGTTATTGTTGGGTTACGTCTGTGTAGTACAGACGTAAACAGAACAGAAGCTACATTCTTTGCTGCATCGAAGACTGATACGGGTGGATCCTTGCCAGCACAACCTATCCCAGGATTCATTGCACTTCAGTGACAAACTGTTTTTAAAGAGGAAATGGTGCCGGCAAGCCACAAGAGTATCACGCTTCAACTCAACAGAGCGGCTAATGGTACACATATAAAAACCAAGTGGCATTAAAAAAAGGTTCTGGGCGTGTCCAATTTAAAAGTTACTAAGCAACAGCAACAAGGGCAAAACAAGCTGGTGACGGTGATCGTGGAAACCCTCCGTAAAACACACCATCTCATTTCGGTTTGGCCATCATGGTCTACGCAGGCCATGAAGGATGTGCTCTTCATTGACTGCGTCCTCTGAAGGATGCAGCCCCTGAATTCCGACACAGCTTTAGATCTCAAAAACAATGAGATAGGTAATCAAGATTTTGAATCCAGAAGGCAGAAGGAGTGGAACTACAGGGAGCATGGTTCTCTTCTTCCTAACTTCTGTCCACTTCTTATTTTTTTCCATTGCTCTTGTAATGCTATGATATATTTCTGAATTAATCAGGACAGTATTCTTGTAATTTTTATTCAAATTTTTTTGATCACGGCCCTAATACTGCATCGTTTGATAGATCCAGGAACTGATATATAAAATTACACTCTGTGATGTTACATACATCATCTAATGTACCTGGGTTAAAATTAAACAGTGGTATGAACCTTGTGTTTATATATCTCAACTGTCGTCCATATGTTCGGTGTGAGTCAGATGTTCTTTAACCTTTAAATGAAATAGCCCTGTGTGTTTATAACCTTTCTCATAGGGCAGTGCACCAGAAGTTGGCCACTTCCTCTCATACCTTCCTCACTTATGGTTAACTGCTGCTGACCGTTTACCTGTTGGTTTTCCAGATGTGGATGGTCTCGGGGTCCGTTATGTTGTGCTGCAGCGCCTGCTCATCCAGCAAGTCGAAGAAGTATTTGACAGCCAGAGGTACGGGACGACTGGTGCTGAGGATCGCAGTGAATAAATCATCCACAAACTTCTGCAGCGTTCCCTGAGACAGAGGACGAGATAAACAAAGTGTGAAACAAAGCTCAGAAGGTTTCTTTAAAGGAGCACATGACACATGACACTTGGTTTCATGATTCACTGTGTTGTGAAAACGTTTTCTGTGGCTCTGGAGCTTTGTCATGTTACCTTAATGATGTCATCAGCGTTATCTCGGACTGGGTTTAAACTTTATATTATTGGCCGTCGCGTGGGTTTTAAAAACATGGGCATTTACCAAGCAGGGTCTAACATGTGACACTGTCACACTGCATTATGGGAAATATGGATCCAGTATTTTTGGAGCTTAACCTGACTCCAGACACTGAAGCTGTGATGTCTCTGCTTCAGTTTTACAGACTTTACTCATTGTTTGAATCCAATATACTGCACATGATTCTCCATAGCCCACTGCAATGTTTACACCACACAGTTCTAATGCAATGTATTAGGTCAACAGATAAAGTAAATTAAAGATTAATATTGAATATGTTTTAAATGATGTAGACTCACACTGTTTCTTCTCAATTCTTTCTTATTCAAATTAGCACAAAGGCTTATTTAGACCCACTGAACCACAGAAAAGTAATTGCTTAAAACAATGGGAGCTCATCATAGTGAAGAACTTAACATAAAGAACACTGTTTTATTATCCTGATAATAATGTGTTTAATTGATGTTATTATCTGAGTAAATGACAAGGACCTCACTTTAAAACATTCTCATTTGTGCTGCTGATTCACATCATTATATATGTGGTTTTTTTCATTGTATTAGAAGAATGTAACCATCAACCACGTATGTTATGTTATAATATAAAAAAACCATCAAATGTCAGTGAGTGACACCATTCACATCATCTCTGTTACCTTCATGGAGAGCAGTCGTGTGAGGTAGATCTCCGGGATGGCCTTGGCTCTCTCCCCGCCCCTCTCCCTCAGACTCCCTCTCCTGTGCTTGGGCAGCTCAGACTCCTCGTTGGCTTTCACCAGATGCCAGAGCCTCACTCCTCCCTCCTCCCCATCATCCAGCATAGGGGTCTCTGTCAGGAGGAGACAAACAGTCAGGCAAAGGAGTGTATTTTTCTCGGCTTGTTTGAATGTACATGCAGGCTGAGAATTTTTTTTTAAAAAGGGAGGTGGTGACGTAAAAAGGCAGCAAATCAAATAAAGGAATCATGTCTGAAAAGGAGAGGGAAGAAGTGAATACTCATTCATTCCCTTGAATGAAACTGAGGTTGTTTGTCTTTGTTTGTTCGACTACATCTCTGCTTTCCTCACTGACTCTCAGCTCCACATCCAGTGCTTCTGTGTGAACACAGTCAAACAGCGACCTCCTCTGGCTGTTCAGACTCGGTTCAGCTGATCACCATCTCGTCCGACATGACACAAGATGACTGCAGGAGGATCTGCGCTGATCTACACTCACCCATTCAGTTTACACTTGCAGGACAAATCTTCTTCTAATGCATGCAAGAGACGAGGATGTGATCAGTGTGAAGAGCTTTTTAGTCTAATTTAGTTTCCCTTCAAAAAACTGAAGGATAAATAAGAGACATTTTCACTGAAATCTATGACCAGGCTAATAACTAAAGGAGAAAGAGCGTTTGCAGTCAGGGGCCGAGGCTCTGGAATGACCTGCCATGAGGCTGACAGAGTCAGTGCCATCATTTTATCTTTATCCATAAAGGCACTGTATACATTCAACCTTTTTTCCATTTAGTCTTGACTGTTTATTTATTTGTGACTTTTTATTAGATTTTTTTGCTTATTGTGGAGCACTGTGTTTTGAAATTAAAGTTTATTAATATTAGAGTGTCTTTTTCTATAAATTTTGTAAAATCTTGCGCAGTAATCCTGCTTTTATACAAGACGTTCCTCTTTGTGTGTGTCTGAAATAGAATAATGTATTTGTGTACGAATCATAAAACAGTGCATGAGACGTACTTTCTCCAGGCATGTAATCATGGCTGTCATGGAGGTGATGTTTGGTGTTCCTGGGGACGAGGGCGACCGTCGCTCCATCAGGGACCTGCGTTACACAGCAATTTATCACAACTTAACAGCTTTATCCCGCACATGAATGGTGTTTATGTGTATTTTTTGTGTTTGTGTGACTTGCTCTGACCTTGTAGTGCTGCAGTGTATTAAGGCGCTTCCACAAGCCTTGCACTACTGACGTCAGGTCCTCATCTGAGAGGATAAGGTGACCTGCAACACCTGCACGCCACTCTGGAGGGAAAACAAATGTTGATGCAACATCAAGCAAAATGCATTTCAATGCAGACTGAGTATGTGCTTATAGTACATGACATATGTTGCTCCAGATGCCACAAGAACTCATCAGACATTTCAACTTTCAATCAAATTTAGATATTCAGGTGCCCATGGAAAGGCCTGGTAATTTGATCAAAAGATGTAAAAGATGTTTGCGTCTCCACAGAGATGAATTTCCTGCAGTTCGGTGTGTCTCCTCAGCGAGTACCACTGCATACATGTTCTATGCTTGAATATTCAACATATATTCATTAAGATTTCTAATGTGATAAACTACTCTGTGTGATCTACTGCTCACATGTCACTAGTCAGATGCTCTGGAGACTCACAATGTCTTAAATCAAAGTGCACTTACCGAGATGTAACGAGTCAACGTGTGGCCTCTGGGAGAAGGAGGTTCCCTTCCAGGTTTGCTCCAGGAGCTTCTCCTTCACTTGGGTGATGGTGTCACAGTCCAGGACTTTGGCAGGTACCGTCTGGGTGATCGTGCCTCCACTGGCAGCTGCAGCTGGCATCACAACATTTAGCGTCTGGACAGATACACAGGGGGGGTTGTTGATAGAGAGGCTGCACTGTAATGCACACTGTGGTGCAGATTTGAGCAGAGTGTCCAGCTGTGTGCATGTGTCCATACTGGACTGAATTAACCTTGTCAACTTAATAGAGACTTTTTAAAAATGTAGGGTGACATTTGCATGTATTATAATGAAATTGTATTTCACCACTTCTTGAAACAAGTCATGTTATTTCAAGAGTACGTTTTTCTTACTTGTATTTATCTGAAACATACATAGACAGATAGATATAGATGAGGAAATTGTGGAATTTTTTCAAATTGTTTGAAATATACGATGGATAACCTTGATTAATCAGTTTCTAATAAACCCGACAGGATACATGGACTTCTCGCCCCAACACTGACACTTGTTAACATGTGTGTACTCACCAGCGTGCGGTATTCCACGTCCTCTCGTAGCAGCCGGTTGTCGTTTAGTGTGTACTTGGCCTTTCCTGTCACAGCGTCCACAGGTCCCTTATCCACCTGGTGCTTTATTGCTCTAAACAGCATGTAGAACGACTCCCCTGCTGATTCCTGGTCGAGCAGAAAAATGCAAGGTCAACACAACAAAAGGTATTTAAGAGATTTGAGTGTGGTTTCTCCTCATGCTGATGTGACATTTGAATACTATCAAATATTATCATGGATTTGTGTGGGAATTCTTCAGCAAAGACAATACATTTGGCTCACACATTGTAACACATGGTAATACAGCTTTACTGTCAATTACAGAAGTGGTGGGTCACCAGGTCAATAAAATATCTAATATTACACAAATAAATACTTTTTCTCAAGTTTATTCTTCTTCAAGTTCATCGCCCTCTAGTTGTACAGCTGTTGTGTTCAGGTTTGGTTTGAAATACTGACGTACGTACCCTCAGAAAGGTAAAGAGACAAATGGACATCCAGTTTGTCAGGAGCTTCTCGACAACAGATTCAGTTCTGGAAAATGAGACGAGCACATTCAAACAAGTCATTTATGGATGAGTCTGTTATCAACTTATCAAATAAAAAAACACATTTAGGGAAAATAATTCCACTGTTTTGACTCCACGGCCATGTGTCAGTACAATTGAGAAGAGACATGGAACATCTGTGTTAGATAGAAAAGAAGTGGCATTCCATCGATCTAATAGAATTTCACCTAGGGTGGATAGATAGTCATACTACCTCTAAAGAGCTGCTGTTATTCATACAAACTGAATGACAACCAAAGCTCCGCTGCTCCTTGTATTCCTTTAATGAAGTTCAAAGTTTCCAGAGCCCTGGTCGAGCCCAGCTCAGCCCACTCATTTGATCCTCAACATTTTCTAGATCCCATCATCCACCACCAGTATACAGACCAGGGGGTGTTTCCTATACTATGAAACCACACCCTCCTTTCCTTGATGACATCATAAAGGGTCTAACTTCTAATCACATCTCTTATCATGCATGGTGATACAATTTGTTCACTCTACATTTAAAGTGTCTCCTGATTGAAATGACTCAACAGCATCCTTTAAACATCATCAGGCAGTTGATATTTACCTTTTATTAACACTAATTTCTAAAATGCTTGAAAAAGCTGTTGCTAGATCTATTATAGCATAAATTATGTTATTAGACCTAATGACTCTGCTACTAATATGATCTGTAAAATAACCATCTCTTTGTTGCCCCTCTCTCTTCTCCAGCGTTCATTTCCCTGTTTACCCACTGAGGTGGCTTCCCATGAGTGTGCTGGAGGTTTGGTATCAAGTTCACCTAGTTCCTGCTCAGTCAGAACTGTTGGGTTTTCATATTGTCAAACTGTAAGTTCTTGACTTTTACTCTGTAAAGTGCCTTGAAATAATGTGTGTGAGGATTTGGAGCTATATCCATAAAACTGAATTAAATTTGAACAATTGAGGATATCATGAAAAACTGACAGAGTCATTGTCTTCCTCACCTCCTGAGCATCAGTTTGGGGTTCTTGGCCACGTACTGTTCCACCAGATTGTTAAGCAGCGTCTTCAGGATGTCTGTGAAGTACTCCAGTTTACCATGCAGGGCTACAGTCAGCAGAGAGGCCACATACGCCCGATCCCTGGGGGAAAATGTCCGCTGGACCTCCAGCGTGTGAATAAACTGGAGAGACAATGGATATAAGAAAAAGTCAGTAATTGCAAAGAAAAAAAAATGTTTTGTTAAAAATCTATGATTCAGTTAAATAAGAAGTCAATATGTCAAACACTGATATGTGGATCTTGATCTTTCACATTGTCAAACTGTTTCCAGCTTAATGTGGTTTTTAATGACTTTTAATGTAATAAAACATAAGTCTAGTCCAACCTTGGTGAGAAACAGTTTGCTGTTGAGCAGGTTGGACAGCTGGACCAGCCCCTGCTCCACAGTCTGCCTTCGACTCTCTGGAACGTCCAGATCTCGTCTCAATGGCGACTCCTGGTGGCCTGGGAAGAAAATGCGTTCGGCATACACCCGGTAATCCAGGAATGGAATCCCCGAACCCACCAAATCACTGGACATGTCCATCATCTCTGTCATCAGGTCTGAAGCAGGGGAACAGAATGGAGATGAATGAAAGTGACAAACCTCAGGTTCAGTGTTGTTCTTATGTTGCCACAGTGACTGGGCTGATTTTATTTTATTCAATTTAAAACAGCAGGTTTGGATTGTACCTGTAAACTCCTTCTTACAGCGGTCCCTCACACTGGTCTCCAGGTTCTCCAGCTGAATCTGCACCTTCTTATAGTCCCTCATGGCCTGTTTGCTCTTTCTCCTGACAAACAACAACAATGCACAGACAACATTTAAAGCTTCACTTTACCCTTAAATTTTGGTTGAGGTGAAATTCAAAAATTTATAGGGATTATAAAATCAGCATTAATGTATTAACTCAAATATCATCATATTATTTAGTTTGCAGCTAACCACAAACATTTTATTGTGTAGTATCTCTTTAGATGAAGAAAAACAGAACTACTGTGTTAATAAGAGGCAAAATACAGGTATAGGAAAAAAATAGCTGTTTTGTCACATTCCCAGGTTTGCAAACTACAGTTGAGGAAAACATGGTGAAGCAAAGGAATTAACAGTGAAAGTGTTTACCTGTATATGAGCACAATGATGAGCACAATGAGAGCCACAATGGAGGCCCCGACCCCGACTCCCACCTGGGCTTCCAGAGGAAACGTGGACTGGGCCTGGCTGTCGTACTGCACTCTGCCCAGTGAGAAGTTCAAGTTCCCCATTCTCACCTGGAAATCACAGAGAGACTTTGAACACAATGCTGATTGAGCTGTTTATGCTGTGACCCTTGGTGTATTGTTGCTTTTACTGCTAAAATAAGTTGTATAGACATCGACAGATGACATTTTTCATGCAATTTGTCTTCGTCCTGACTCTGTGTTATGTGACCAGTGTGGCACTGCAGAGATCTTAGTGTAAATACTCTTATTTTGCATGTTTAGGAGTAGAAGTGCAGCCAAGAAATCAGAACACGATTCATGTGTTTTAATGTCTTCTGCAGGAGCAAATAAATGCTGGTAAACAATCTTTTGAGTCATTGTCCTTCATGCTCTGCCCTCACCTGTTACAATGAGACAGTTAGGTTACATACAGGCGCTGTTGTTCCTCTGTACTGACTTGCTCCTAAATATCTCCCAGGCTGCAGTCGCATCATCCTTAATGTAAACGTGCACTGAATTCAAATGTATCTAATGTTGACTCACAGTGAACTCAGGCAGACTGTCCATGCCGTCCTGTTTCTTGCTGGCAGCCATTGAAGGCTGCTGGGTTGGTGGTTCACAGTACAGGTGGTTATGGGTCAAGGTTTTCACGGCACACACCCCCTCCCCTATCCGAGCCTCCACCTCATGCTTGTAGATGGCCAGATCCAGGTTCTGTCCCTAGAAGATACAAAATCAGAGCGACTCAGAGGTGAGGACTGGACCGCACTAGAAAGGCAGTTCACCTGATACAGTCCTCAAGCCCAATTATTAAAATGTATGTTTGAATATTCTACTCGTTCGGATGTAAAGGAAGCATAAATGTGCATTAATGCTGCAACTGGAAAATAATGTCTCAAATTGAATCAATCAGCATTCCATCTATTTTGTATATTGTTGTATTTATGGGCTCTAACAAACAAAATTTAATTTAATTCTGACACATTATGTTTCTGCCATCTAGGTACAAGACACGTTAAAGGTCCCAAATAAAGGCTATAATATATCGTTCTTGCTACTTTTAATTTAGGTTACAAATGTTGAGGGCTTAGGACAAAATTGATTCACGTCCTTTTGCATTCAAATGTTGTAAATAATAAATACAACACTTAAAAAGTATATAGTGTATTAACTCTAAAATTTAGAGAATGCACATAAAGACTTCTTTAGGTAATAAAAAGGAGAAGTGACTCTGGACCCTGTAGCATCTGTTATGTTGCAGAGGTGATTACAGCAACACTGACATTCTGATTCCTTGGTTTTTTAAATGAGCTAATGACCTTAGAGACCTTCTCGTACTTTGAGACATGTTGGAGATGAAGGAAGAAGGTGAGGTCCATTACAAATAGGTATTTGCACCCACCTCTACAGAGATGACGCTGCCAGGTTTGTGGTGATACGGTTTGTTGGGGTCGTTCTGGTTCAGCGGGTAGAGATCTGGGTTGGACTCATAGCTGAAGGCTTCATTGCCCACAGCGCTGAAGTCAAAATGGAGGCTGTCTAGCAGGAAATGAACTTTGACCCTGGCTCTCCTGGCCTCTGGGCCCACCGCCGGGGTCGGACACAAGATGAGGGAGGAGCTGTTCACTGTGCAGCGAGACTCGTACTGGAGGAATGAATGAAATGATCAAAACCCACATAAGAATATGATGAGTGTGTGTGTGTGTGTGTGTGTGTGTGTATATATATATTTATGTGGGATTATACCACCATACCTGTTTGACGTGACAGAGTGCACCCTGTGGGCAGTCTGTGTCTGGGACGATCCTCCTCCATCTCTTCACCGGACCCTGGTGATCTTTTCTCCCTTCCTTCCTCCTACCGGAGCTCCTTCTCCTCCTGGGGGGGAGAGTATCAGGAGGACTGAGGGTCACCCTCATTTTTGGCTGTTGGACCACATCCAGGTTCTGACCAGAAACTCTGATGATTCGTCCTCCACTGCAGGAGAGTGATGGACAGTTTCATGTTAGGACTGGCTCTAAAAAAAAATTCTGATTAAAATTGATCTTCAATAGAATGATCTGAAATCATCTGTATCATAAAATGGGGAGATTTATCTTTTGATATATGCCTTTTCCTTGTGCCACTTCTCATGACATCATGACCGGCCTACCTTAATATTTTTAATAAGGCACAAAGTTAGGCTTCCTTGCACAGTTTACCACATTAGTGCTTTGAGAATCCTTTTTATATACAAGCAAAATATAATTAATTTTTACAATGATTCTTCAGTTTTTGCTGCTTAAATGTAATAATATTTACACTGGTCTACACTACAGTATCTAGTCTACCAAGTTAAATAACTTCAATAAAATCTAGTCCTAGTCTGCCTCCATCAGTGTATCTGGGTGCAGGCCTGTCTACAGTATTTGGAGGCGCTGTATTGTTGGCTTTCAGGACACAGATGAAAATGTTTCTCCTTAATAAATATCATAAAAAATGATATATGACCATTTAGATGGTCAATAGTTAGATTCCATTTGAGATATCTGTCTGTGAATTGTATCTTGTACAACAAAGCTGGACTGAGGTGAAGTTAACATTAATATTCAACAGCTCTCTCTTTCAAGGGACAGTGTCATAATCAGCGCCATGTTGTCGAAAAAAGAATTCTGAATCATAATTTTAGGCTACTTATTAGAGGGAGAAGAGCAGAGGATCAGTCTGTGGCCTGTTATTCTTCAGCGTACATTAACATTTGGCTAAATAGCACCACATTTTCAGAATTATCAGGACTTTGAGAAGATTGCAAAAGAAAACATTTAGTAGTGGGTGACTGTATATCGCAGATATACTACCACTATTTCCAATTAACGCTGTTGACTATGCCATCTGTGGAAACCACTTCATCTATGTCCGACCCTCATTGTTATGACTCACAGGATCCCAATTTTGACCCCCAAGTAAAGGGTACAGAATTTCTCTCTGAACAGTAGCGAAGTTTAAATGAAAGGAACAAGTTCTGAAAACAAAATTTAAATCCAAATAGTTATTTTCCACCACTGCACCTGAGAAAGCTTTTGAAAGGAGCAGCTGTTGTGATGTTGGGGTTGGGGGTGTAATGATACACCAAACCCTGCAGGTGGCGCTCTGCCCCACCAAACCGCACAGTGACGCTGTGTTCTCCGGTTCTGTTGCTGCCTTTGGTCAGACAGCTGATCTGATCCTCCCGGATGTTCAGCCTGAGACAAAGACATTTTCCATTTTTACACTTTTACCTTGAACTGTGATATAAAGACCTTTTTTAAAATGATGATTGACGAGAGGCTCTTACACCATACAGGGGACTCCTCCAATCAGGACGCTGACTTCACCTGGATGTCCAGTCCTCAGCCTGCGGCCTCTGATGGTCAGAGACGAGCCCCCGGCCTTGGGTCCTCTCTGGGGGAAGATGCTGCTCAGTACAGGATCCTGATGGAGGACAGACAAGAAGGAGAAGAAGAGGGGGGAAAAAGGATGAAATGCAAGGATACACAAGAGAGAGAGAGAGAAAAAAGTGTATAATCAATAATGTGATACTGAGCGTGTGATTTATTGGCAGGATAAATAAGACACCAGGGCATTCTGGGAAACACGAGAGGGTTGCCTCAGAGCCAGCTCGTACAATTCATCTGCTTGTCACTTGGGCCAATCAATTAAAGCTGTTGTCAAACCTTCCTTCCTTTTACTGTGGTGTTAATCAGGAGATGAGTTATTACATTATTTTGCTGCAGTGGTTCATTTACATTTCACAGAGCACAATTATAGCTGAAGCCTAATCAACAAACGCCATGTCGGCGCTGTCGTTTCCTTGATTGGTCAGAAATCTTCTATGTGAGCACTTTTTTTAATGGGTAAACACATGTGGATGTTAAACAGCTACTTTTATAGACTGATAAATCCATTCATTCTCAATGCTGACAATTCAGATGAGGCCGTCAGGATTAGTTTGTTTAAAAAGACCTAGGGAGCCCCCGTCTCAGCGAGGTCCTCATCCTTGTGTTTTGGTCCATGCCCCATAGTGATTACTGTGTTCCTATATACAGTATGGAACTGAACCTTTGTTTTTTAAATGCTTGTGAAAATGTCTTTCTTGTCGTTAAGCTTTTGTGGTCTATCCAGTCAAAGAAGACCACCTCCTTCATGGGCCAGGAAGCCTGCATCCTCCGAAGCATGTAACCCCTGAATTGAGACACTTTGTCTGTTTTTGTGGTAGGGAATTGGAGAACCGGATTTCCACCGTTAGATTTCCCCTTGAGAAAGAAAATATGTACAGTCGTGTCTTAAATATACTTTTCAAATAATGTGCTCGACAGAGTCCGACCAAAAGTGAAACTAACATAATGTTGCCAGCGTGAGTCTATAAATTAGTCAGTTTAAACTTTAACCATTTGTAAAATTCTGACATATTCTCTGACCTCCTCAGCTGGCAGGCACGCACACAGACACACACGTACACACACACACACACACACACACACACACACTATAGTGTAAAAATACTACAGTTCAAGGATAGAGTAGAAGCTTGATTGCTATTCTGATTATTGACATTTAGAAGGATTTATAGCAACCAGGTTACATCAGTGCATGTAAAGGCATTATTACATTTTCTGCGTAACATAGTTCCACGTCAACACACTGTGTTCACCTGGAAGCTGAAGATCTGAGCCGACAGTCCGAGACCTCCTCCCCTCACTTTGACTGAGGCCTGGCCGCTCTTCTCTCCTCTGCTTCTTGTTGTCTCACACACGATCCTGTAAGATAAAGATTGTTATGGATAAAAAATCATCAGACAATATTTTACAACAGTATACGTTCAGGTGTGAGGACGACTTGCCTTGAGGAGACTTCATATCGGCTGTGGATGACGCTGCAGGGAACCCCGGCCACCGTGACAGAGCTCTGGATGTCTTCAGCTCTCTGGCCGAGGTTAGAGCCTGAAATAGTCACGACTGTGCCTCCCTCTACGGGGCCGGACACTGGGTCCAACTGAAACACAAGAGGGACCAAAGAATGAAATGTAAACCCTGCACAGTTCTTCAGTTACAGCCTTCACCGCATCGCAGCCCACGATCAGTCACTCAAGGAGTGATGTAAGGATTAGTGCTGCAGAGAATGTGACTGAAAGCACAGTGTAAACAATCCCCTTGTTTCAGTAAACAAGTCACACAAGTGTAATGTGCAACTTGAAGACACATCTTGTACTTAAATGTAAACATTTGAAATTATTATTTAAAGCAGAATATTTTTCCGTGCAGGATAATGATGTGAAATCATCAAGAGCGATTTTTTCTAAATCAAAGGGATCCAGACACCAGTTCAGCCGTCAACACGATATGAAGAATGACATCTTTTCTCTGACATTTCTGACACAAATGGACACACACACACACAAATCATTACGTGTTTAATTCTTTCCCTCATTTCTCATACTTTTGCCGTCACATTCTTCAGAAAAGATGTTCTTACAAAGTGAATGACAGGTGCAGGGCAGGTGTGTTTGATCTCGTCTGTGCAGGAGTCCTGGTAGACACAGCGAGAGCTGGCCGCACCGCCACACCAAACACAGCCGTACTTAGGGTCAGCAGTACGACATCGGCTACAGTCCGACCGCCCCACTGAACAGTTGAACAGAGTCACTGCAACGAGGGGAGACAGGATATTACAATACTTTCATATCAAATCAAAAATAAAATATGTTACATATGTATATATGTGTGTGCAAACAGAAGCATGTGCTGTCTCATAAAGAGACACCCACAAGAAAAATAAACACACTACACTGCTCTCACCATACAGATCCTCAGCGCTGTCGATGAGGAAGTTGTTTTTTCTCCTCACGTTGATCATTGCTGGATATTCCTCCACCGAGACAGAGTAGGCATACTGAAACAGTATGACAGTTAAAAAACACATTAAACATTACATGTGATGCACTATATAAGTTGATGTTATGCACAGCCACGTGTAAAGCAGTTGAAGTATGTTTCACATTATCAGCTCACAAGAGCTAATGAAACACACACATGCAAACCCACATAATCACCGTTTACTGATTTTTGTTAATAAAGTATGCCGCTGCTTCATCGGTGTAACGTTTGTCTGTGACCTGTGTTGCTGTTGATTTGTCGTCATTGTGAATAACACCACAGGGGTGGGGTTCTATAATGGATTTAGTTTTGTATTGCTGCAGCACAACGACTCAGATTCTACATAGACATTTCATGAAAGATGGTGCGTTGCATTTCTAGAATGTTGCATAAAAAATAATCTGTTGCAGTTGGTATGGGACAAATAGACACAGTGGTTAAGAGGACAAAGAAATGAGTTCCAGCTTTAGATAGAAAATATTGAGAATAGTGTTGTTGGACACATTTAAAGGTCCAGTGTGTAAGATTTAGGTGAAAGGGATCTATTGTCAGAAACTTAATGTAGTATAATCCTCATGATGTTTTCACTAGTTCGTTTCATCTAAATTGTATGAATTGTAGTTTTCTTTACCCCAGAAAAGACCCTTTATGTTTAAATACTTTATATTTACATTGAGGGGACCCTCTCTACGGAGGCCGCCATGTTTTTTATATTAGTCCAGAGTAAACAAATTAAACACCTTTTGAGTTTTTATGACAACTGAAGCTACCACAGTTTCTTTTTCATGTTTGGAAGGAGAGGGTGAGGTGAGGGGTGTTCAGCTGCAACGTGCAACTTCAACACTAGATATCACAAAAAATTCTACACACTGAACCTTTAAGACAGCACATGCAAGACAAAAGCATGCCACTGTTTAGAACAACAGCTAAAAGACACTAAGTAAGAGCTCATTGCTGTGAATTCATACATTTACCATCCTTGTCAAAATTTGAAGACTTGGAAGGGTTGAGATAAATTATGACTATACATTAATTTCCTGACCTGGTGCGGCTGGCAGGTGATAAAGAAGACTGATGACTGGGTAGCATCCGGCTCTACTGCAGCGTCCACCACCACCGACTGATTCTCAACGTCCAACACACACTCGTAGTCCAAGTCCTCATCCTGAATGTAGACAGCCACAGACAGACATGACAAACCTTGTCAGCAGGGATACAAAGTAAGTCTTCCAATGGTAGAAGGCCACACTCACTGCAAAAGCTCCAATTCATGCAAAAACATGAATTCACTTTTACAGTCAACAGTTTTTTAATTCTAACATTAGATGAGTACTCGGCACAAACACAAGTTGATCGTAGTATTTCTCTGATGGATGGTAACATTACCTGAAACAGGTTTAGATGTTGTCCCACCAGAGTGATTTTCCTCTCCACATTGACAGGGAGCAGGGAGGAGTCCTGAACCTTCTCCACACACGGACATTCCTGATGAAACAGTGTCCACCATTATTACATGAAATATCAACACTTCGGGAAAAAGAAAATACAGCTATTCTTCATACACATGCGTCTGGATTCATTTAATTCTAAATAGCCTATGTTTAATAACCATGGGCTTGTACATGTGGTCACTCCAAGCATCATTAAAATCAGCCTCAGACCGTCACTCGTCCACAACTGAAATATTTGGTACTCTATCAGCTGTATGGCATTTTGTCCCATTCACCAAAAACCTACATTTGCTTGTCAGACAACACACATGTTGTTTTCTATGTGAAGACAAAGGACTGCTTCACATTGAAAAGCTCACTGGGTTAACACACATATATGTTGATATAGTTGATTTGGAGCCATCATTTGTGAGACTTAATGGACTTTACGTGAAGTAATAGACTTAATTACTGTTTCAATGTGGCAAGTGATGGCAGACACATTAAAGGAGGTGCTGTAACCACCATATCTATCTATTGCTAAAGTTACGTTTCTTGTGTCCTGAGGAGGAGGATTCATGGATAATGGGGTGGTAGTGTCATCCTTAAGTTTCATGTTGTATTGTTTCTCTTTTTATGTAGTAAATGATGCTTGTATCTAAAGTGAAAGAGCAACAAAAAGAAAAGGGACTACAAAGAAATTGTGGAACTTAAGACAAAAGCCAAAACGAGGCAAGTATAACCCAAAAACACATGCAATATATACACATCAGACACACAAGTACATGTATGTGAAGAGTTTTTTCAAAGACAAAAGGGATGGCCGCTTAGCTCTCTCTGTACTTTGTGTTTTGTTTGTGCAACATTATTGTTATTCGCTGCGAGCATTGATGGAGATGAACAGAGATGATTTGGAGAGGGAGGCCGAGTCAATACGCTCCATCAGATGAGTGCCTTGAATTTCCCACGTCCATCCTCACATCTGAAATTATATTGATTTTCTGCCCGTCTTTCTCTTATTGACAGGCAAGCTAATAAAGATAACTGCACTCTGCCCTGTCAGCATTAGATTGTAATGTACATTCAGAGCAGATCTTCTTGGATTCATTAAAATAGAATATCCAATATAGTGTCTTTAAGGGATGGTTAACATTTTTAGGAAATGCACTTTCACATTTTTTGTTGGAAGTTAGATGAGAAGATAGATCTCACTTCTGTTTCTTAAGGTTTCAACCATACAGTCTATGGTTTCAACAAGTTAAATTTAAGACTTTTAAAGATAATAATGAATGAAATTTAACATCAATGTAAAAGTATGACGGATATAAGGAAATATGAGAGTCCCACACTTACTAAATCATTATGTAAGATAAGGTGAAGCCTAGTAGAGAGTAACCCTCAAAGCGCCGTGATATCTCGCAAGCTACAGGCAGAGACAGAAGGTATCCATAGTCTTTCTCACATCCAAGCTGAGTTTAATCAATTCAATTCTGTTTTCAGTTCCATTTTCATTTAGGTTCCACGTTGGTCGTGTTTATAGTTTTATTAGAGCATACTCAAATATATCATTGAGAAAGAACTACACAGGCTATGCTACATTTATCTTAGAAGATAAAAAATTTGAAGATCCCGGGAACTCCAGTCTTTAAGGACACTGTCACATCTACCTTGATTGGTCCGGACCATCAGATTTTTTAGTTTAGTCTCAACCACAATATCAGACGTGAAAGGTGCCTTAGTCTGTGGTCCGGACAAATGGACCCAAACTTAGTACGACCAAAAGTGGTGGTCTTGGTCCAGATCAAACAAACCCCGGTTGTTTGATCTAGTGTGTTTTTGTAGTATTATAAAGAAGGCATTAAACCATAGCAGAAGAGGAAGTGGTTTGCAGGATTGTTTCAGTCTTTGCCACCCTGACGAGGACGACAAGGACGTTCATTTGAACGAGTTTTGAGTACTGCCCCTGAAGATGGTGATGCTAGTAGTAATACATTGATGATATTACAGAGGCAACGAAAATAACTTTATGGACCGATATCATTTTAAAGGGAAAGTCCCACGGAACACGCTGATTTATGACGCACACCTGTCTACAAACCAATCAAAATAAAGATAGATGCAACCCACAAAGGTGATGACAACAGGACATACGCATGTCATACAAACATTTTTAGTCCACTCCCTGCATTGCAGTGTGGCAGAAAAACTAACCGGATCAAATTCAAACATTGTGAACCTCTGTTTGGATTTTCAGGTGTGAAAACGGTTTAAGTTAGGCTCAGCTGACGCCTCTTATAGTTCCATATTTAACAGACAGAGAGGAATATGGTGCAAAGCTTCTCATGTGACCTTCAGACAGAAAAATGTGCATCTTCCCTACATTGTCTAAGATTTCAAGCACTTCAACACCAACTGCACACATGGTGTCTGCACTCACCAGAATATAAGAATCAGTCGTAGAATCTGACTGGTAGTTTGTTGCAGAATCAGAGTCGAGGTCAACAACGGTTTTAGGTGATTGTGTATGGACAGCCGAGTGTTCGCTGGCACCTGCAACATATGAACCTGTTGCAAGCTCCACCTCAGTGTCTCCCTCTGGCTTCTCCAACTCAGTCAACCACACAGGTGAGTCTGTCTCTTTAGAGTCCTTACTGTCATTGACAGAAAGGTCTATTAAAAGAGCCACTTCGCTGGACGTAGTCAAGCTCACATCTGAGGAGGAGCCCACTGCTTCACCAGACAGCTCTAAGAGTCTCAGCTCAGGGTCTACCTGGCCACTAGTAATGCTGGGTAATGTAGTGTGCAGAGTTTCATCAGTGATATTTAAGTCGTTTCCTAAAAAGCCTCTTGTGGTGGCACCATCTCCCTCTGTCGTTCTCTCCACATCAGAAACGGACACATTTACGGTCATGACATCGGTGTGGACGGTGGTGACCTGCGTCCTGACAAAGGGGGAAGTTGTGGCCAGCGTAAGGGGGGCTGTAGATTCAGCATTGGGGCTGGTAGGTGATGTCACTGTGGTGGTTGCAACTGAAGGGGAAGCTGCTGTGGTTGGGGGAGGTATCTCTGTGGGTGGCGGCTGTGTTACTGTGGTTGTTGTGGTTGCTGCTGTTGTTGCTGTTGTGGTGGTGGTGGATGTTGTTGTAGCAGCCCGGGTAGTGGGTGGTAGAGGGGTCAGTTTTCTGGTGGGTGGTGGGATGGTGGGTGTTGGCGGTTTGAACTTGATGATGGAGAGGCACAAGTGAACAAGCAGGGGAGAGGAAAAGAAAAAAAGGCAGGGGAGGAGAAACAATTAGGATAAAACAGAAGGGTAATGCAAATACAATAAGAAGCAACTCAAAAGTGACATAAAGGTTCATGGTAGAAAAAAATTATAAAAAATTAAAAAATAAAACAGAACACGAAACAAAACAATGCAAACAGACAACACATGCAGTATGATAATAACTGTGTTTTATCTTAAATACACTGTACACAGCACTGAAATCCACTGTGCATACAGTACATCCAAATACAATCAAAGACGTTCCTCGCTTCAGACGTGGAACTCACGTTTTGGTTGTAGATGGTGACTCCGTGGCTGCAGGTGCTTTTGTGTGTGCAGATGTGCTCGTGGATGCACCAGTTACACCCCCAGTGACTGCTAACACACCCTTGGCATCTTGATGTGCACGCAGCAGGAGTGCAGGTAGAAGAAGTAAACAAAACATAATAGAAATAAAATTAGTAACAATAGAAATGTTGGAGGGTCCTAACAACATTTCATACTATGTTCAAACATACTTAGATTATCTGTATAAAATATTCTGTCTTTCACCTGCACCACCTGCTCTGTTACTTGGTGAAACTGAAATTTCTACTTGATATTCACACACGCCCTGTAGCAGATAAGATGAACTTCATGTAAACTACTATTTTTAAAATGAAGACTATACAAAACCGATTTGTCAAAATAAAAATGTATATATTTATATTTTAATTAAATAAAACCAGTCTCATACATAAATATAACGTGCAATGTGGTGGTTGCATTTCTTTGAACTCAGAACCTCTTTGCAGACCTGCTAACCCATGAGCATTTGGTTGTTGGTTGCAGGGTTTTGGCAGATTGCTCATGTTATAGTTCATCTCCTACACATGTAGGAGCATGTTAGCAAAGACAACAGGATCAGTAATGCTTGGAATTGATTATTATCCATGTTGTGTTGTACACTGTTAGCCGAGGCTTATGCCGGTTGTTATCATAAAGGGGGTCATGTGATAGGAGCCTGACGAACCAGCGGTGACTACATCATGACCGAATAGACCCAATCAGCATGTGATTGTCTTCTTCATAGTTTCCAAATATCTACGTTTCTACCTGTACATATGAAAATGATGCCCAAAACGGGTCCAGCAGCATTTCTAAACATCTTGTTACTTCGCTATCAAACTTTGGAGTAGTGTGGACAACAGGCATATCCATATTTATGTGTGCATTTGTGTACTCACGGCCGGCGTCCCGAGAGCTCCTGAACCAAGCTGCAGTTGTAGAAGGTGAATTCTGTCTCAGCCACCGTCACGTTGATGAACCGTAGTGAAAGGGTCACCATCACAAATTCTGCAGTGAAACAATCAGTGGTCTCCATATGACAACTTCAGAAACCCTCAAATATTGAACATGTTTTTTATATGAATGTCATGATGGCACGCTTGATGATGATGATGTTCTTACCATCTCCGTAGCCTATGGGGGGGAGGCTGCTGGCATCGGGGGTGGAGCATGTGACACCAGTGTTAGTGAGCGATGCTTGACTTTCTGTGTCTTGGAAGAAGCAAGAGTAGAACTCTCCCATTCCTAGACTGGGGAGACCCTCGACTGACACTGTAATCTGTGGGAGGGGGACAGAATGGAAAAGAGACAGGAAAAATAATAATTAATTCTACCCCCAAAACAGTGACAGAGATCAAAGCAAATTCAAAGTACAACTCGGATGTTTAAGACAATAAATTAGTCCCATCTGTTCCCCTGCATTACATCAGTTCTCTCCCCGCGGCTGATGTTGTAGAGGCTGAGGTGTTGAATACTGAGGCACTGCTGCGTCTGGTTGAAACTCCACAACCACTGGCCCTGCTGGGACCCTCGCTGACACTCCCACTGCTGGCCACACCTGAAATACCACAGAGACAAGGGCGGAGTGTGTTGGAGCATGAGAGAAGAGGTCTTCACGGGTCCATCCAACCCTAACCCATATGGGTTTGGATCCGCATTTTATGCAGTCAGTGCGTGCGTAAGCTAATTGTACACGAGTCACCATGACGATAAATCAACTTTTAATCTGATATCACAAGTGGATTAAGTTAGTCATGCTGATATTAAAATCAGCAAGAGAGGAAGAATATAAAACTTGGGTAGAAAATTCCTGTGTCTTTTCAGGTTAGGGCAAAACATTTGCAGTAGCACCCCCGTTACTCTTCAACAACATATACACACGGACGCACCTTCCCTCCAGGACACACCAGCCACAGTAGGGGTCTTTAGCAGACAGACAGGACTGACAGTCCAGGTGATCTCCACATTCTGCCACCGGGCGCTTCTCTACCTGAAAACAACAGATCAGTGACTGGGTCAGTTCAGAAGCATTTCCATCTCCATTACTTTTCATCTGCTTAGTTTCACCTTTTCTTGTCTCCATTGTGTAATAGACTCATGAAACATTCAATGAAATTGTTTAAACAAATAATTCATGAAATTCCTGCTGAAATAATAAAAATTCTGCATCCCTCATTGAGACCGTTATAAAGGACACACTCCAGAACACCTTGGATTTCTTTGTTTGCCAACCACGGTGTTAAAGATTTACACACTAACTTAGTGAGCTGACTGACTTATGGCCTAATTTATAATTCTTGTTTTGAGACCACTCTCGCATGTGTTGTGCTTCATTTTCTATATCGTTTGCAAGAGGGTTCCAATCCCAGTTCGGCTGAGGTATTTCTGTGTGCAGTTTGCATGTTCCGCTCCAGTGTTTGCGTGAGTTCTTTCCAGCTACTCCAGCTTCCACCCACATTCCAAAGACATGATTGGGATTAGGTTGATTGGAGACTCTAAATGGAGTGTAGATGCGAATGTCAATTGTTTCTGTATGTTTGGCCCTATGATACGCTGGCGACCTCTCCAGGGTGTACCCCTGTGATATAGACAATTGATGACTAGATAAATGTTTGCAAAAATATAAAAGGAACTACATGAGTATCAAACCTGGGCCCTGTGTTTATTGAGGGGGATGGGAGAAATAATTTGAGGCTTTTTTTGATGAACAACAACACTTTAAGAGGACTTTTCATAGACTGTTGCAGTTTCCCTACAAGATAACATTGTAGCCACTGTCACTGTGTCAGAGGCTGAGTGCTGAAGGCGATCAACCCGAACGATTCCAAAAGGTTTTGTTAGTTCCATTCACATACCACCCACATTTCTAAGCATGAGGGGAAATATATCAAAATGCCCCCTTTAACTAATATATTTTTTTTTTCTGAATCAAGAGACAAAACTCCAGCTCATATACTGCCAGTAGCTTTATGACAGTTCTTGTAATCATATTGTTATACATACAAATATCAATGCAACTCGAGTCTGCAGGTCTACATTTGGATTCAAGTGTGCAGCAGTCAAGCAGTAACACAAGTCATCCAATGTAAAGATGAACACTTTCCCATACTCATTCATCAGCATCTAAAGCTACCCACACAGAGACACTCTGTAGGGAGTGTGCCAGCACAATGGAGGCCACTTTCCCTAATCAATACCATTGTTATGTCTGACCTTCCACCTCCTGCTTACCATTGTACCCAGCACAGTGAGGTTAGCGACCTTTGACCCCTAACGCCAGCTGGCCTCTCTGTTTTCTTTCATACTCTTCAGCCTCTTTTTCAGAGTCACACAGCTTGAGGAAGTGTCAGAGCCTGAGAAGCTCTGAGCAGCAAAATGGTCTGACGGTGAATGACAAACCACGTTCAGTCTCATGTATGGAGACATCTGGGTGAGTGGTTGAATGGACTAGGGCTGTGACTGTGTATACAATAGTAAACCTGTGAAAGCCTACTTATAAACATAAACTCCTGGGTTTCTCATGTTTATTTTTACCGATGAGGATATTTACAACCTGTCTAAAAGTGTGTAATTGCATGCTTTGTACACTTACATTGGTTTTGGTCATGATGTAGATGTGTGCTCCATTCTGATCCAACAGCAGGTCACTGTTAATGGGTGAGTTGGGATGAATGGTTGAGTTGGCATACACCTCCACCCTGCCATCTTGACCAAGATACACCTGGAGAGAATCAAAAGGATTTATAATGTATCTACAAACAGGCATTTTTATACAAAAGCGTTCCTGACACTGCAGGACTAACATGACAAAAAGGAAAATGAGACAGAGGGAATATCTTCATCAGCTTACAGCTCCGAAGCAAATCAAATCACACTTGTGCAGGATCGCAGCAGAAGTGGCCATGAATGTGATTACCACAGAGTCAAATCTAATATGAAGCAGAGGAAGACACCTCTCGCCTAAGTGATTCCCAGGCCTTCAAACTCTCATGTTACCCCGTGCTAATGAGATTAGCAGAGGTTTTCGTGCCTCCTTCCATGAAGACCTCACTTGATCACTGCGAGCGGAATGGAGAATCATTGTCCCATCAAGAGGAGGCCCTCACCACTTAATGCTCAGTGACTGAAAAACAATTATGCAGCTTGTTGTTTTGCATGTTGAATTAAACAT